GCTGCCGATAAGCTTCCGGTCCCAATTCAAGGTGCAAGTTATTACTTACAAAGCCCTAAACAGTTCAGGTCCTGTCTTTCTCCAAAATCGCATCTTCCCTTATGAACCTGTGCGGTCTCTAGGCTCTTCTGGGGAGGCCCTACTTTCGCTCCCATCTATGTCACAAGCGTAGCTGGTGGGGATGAGGGAGAGGGCCTTCTCGGTGGCGGCCCAGGCTCTTGAACTCTCTCCCCAGAAAGATCAGATTGGCACCCACTTTCTGTAAAGAACTAAAAACATGGATGTTCCACTGTGCTTTTGACTAATCAGTTCGCTAGATAATTTTGGCCACTCCCGCCATAATTCAATATTTGGCTCTTGCACGTAAAGTCCCTGTCCTATAGTTATATTACTCAAATTGACTCGGCCCTTCTAGCTCAAAGTTATCATCTGGCTTTGCCACCAGTCCTGTCCTTGAAACTGTATTGCACAAGCCCCTACCTTGCCCCTTAGCTCAGTATATGGCCACTATGTTAGGCTGCCAGTTCTTGTTGGTTTTTATGATGTTTGTATTTGTGAATTTTTACTGTTTTATATTTTAACTTGTGTTTGATTGGCCTTGTCCACATGTAAGCCATCCCAAATTCCTTCAGGGAGATGATGGCGGGATACAAAAATAAAGTTGTTGTTGTTGTTGTTGTTGGGGTCTCCTTAGCTCCAATCTGGCACCAATAAACAATTTTTGAAGACCATTTAGACATTTACATAAATCTGTTAGCAACAACTTGTAGTGTTTATTGTGGACTCTGATGAGAATGCTTCAATTGTACTTCATGAAAATGAAAATCAGCCTGTTTAATAAGCTTTGCAAAATGCTAGTTTGTTGTCAGTAAATGTCTCATTTTTATATCTGTTTTATATACCTATATATGCCTGGTCTCATAAATATTTCTCAAGAATGGCACCTTATTAACTTCCTGGCAGCAGCCTAGCCATTAGCCTGAGCATCATATATGAATGACCCACCAACTATGGTCTGTGTGGTCCTCAGATAACATCCATGTGGTCCAAGGATCCCCTCTTTAGTAGAGTTGCCTCCTCTCACTTCTCATCCAAAATAGTTTGCTTCTTCAAATATTCTGGTCGAGTGCTATTTGAATCATGCTCTTGGCTCATGAGTTTCAAACATGCATCTTTAGCATAATCTTAAGTTCTTTCCATCTTCTCAACATCTTTAAAAGTTTTGCAAGCAAGCTTAACTTATCTCCCTGAAATCTGGCAATTAGTGGCCCTCCTTCAATAAATTGCTTAATGATAATTGTCTCTGGAAGAGGCTTGCGCAGCATAATGTGAACTTTACTTGGGACGGATATGGAAGAATGCATTTGTTATCATTATTTGTGCTTGATTAACTCAAATTGTGCTCTGTTCCAAAATCGCTTGAGGAAGCACATGCAGCCTAATTGGATGATTGCTTCTATTCTATTTGACTGATGAAACACAAAACAAAATTTTGCATGCTGAAACAATGTGAGAGAGCTTTTTGTCTCTTGCATACAACACAACTGCAGAAGCTAAAATGGCTTGGCTCTGAACCAGATGTAATTGCAAGCTACCATGAGTATGCACTTTAAAGCTGTGGCTGTGGGTGCAACTTCTCAAGATGAATGGAAAAGGGGAATACATACATCAGTTGCTTCCTCAACAAACTGATGAAGTACACTTAAGTCCATGGAAGGTTACACTGCCAACTTCTTTCTCTCAGATAGTCTCAAATGTTGTCAGCTCCCTTTGAGTACCCATTAAAAATGCAAATGGAATGAGGAAATACGTAACATCGCCATGACTGTAGAACCTATACCCATGGTTACATTTACTTATGTCCAGGATGAAATGGTTTCTCTAGGAACTTGTTAAGTTCTCCTTATTTTTCTATAGCATGCTTCCTCCTAAAGTTACCATAGGACTGCACTACGATGCCGTGGATTTGGAAGAGGCATAAATAGAGGAGAAAAGGGAGAACTGTGCCAAGAGGAAAACATAACTAGCAAACCCTTGATGGGACCGCCTCACTCTCTTTTCCTGTCAACATATCTCAATTGTACTAATGTGCCTTTAAGCACCATTAGCCCTCAAGTGAACAAGTGCTGGGGGTGTAGGATGACAATAAGAACATGAGCTCTTTTCCCCAAGTCCCTGAAAACCAGAAAACTAAGAAAGGAAGAAACCATGAAAATGAACAAAAACTCTAAATTTATAACAGCAAATAAAGAACAACACTCAAACACAGGGGAAATCCAGACAAGAAACAACCAGGGCCAGGTAATCACCTCTCAACAGAGGATTCCCCCAGGCAGTAACAAGCTATACCTAAAAGCTGCCAAGCCATCAAATGCTAGTCAAGGTGGCCAATGGAAACATTCACACGTAGCTCCAACAGACAATAGTTCTTTCTCCCACCCTGGATTTTCCACAGATATATAAACCCAATTTTTCTAGTTTCCAACAGATCTCACAACCTCTGAGGATGCCTGCCATAGATGCAGGTGAAATGTCAGGAGAGAATGCTTCTAGAACATGGACATATAGTAGGCTTGTTTGATTAAAAAATGGTTCAAAACTCATTTCGGATGTAGGGGGCGCTGGTGGTTCAATTCTAAAGTCACTTCCAAATTTCACAGAAAAAAATGTTCAAAACTTTTCAAAACTTCCTGTGTCATTTGTCCATTTATTTTCACTTTAGCTTTTTGTTGATTATAGATTGCATTAACTGCATTGTTAAATTTTTCTCCCATATCCAATTCTTGTATTAGTATCTTTAAAAAAAATCCCAATTCAAATTGTCAAAAGCTTTTTCAGTGTCTATTGATAAAATGGCAAATTCTTTTTGGTGGTTAATCTCATAATATTCCAGGAGATCCAACATTGTATGAATATTTTCTTTCATATGTCTGTTTGGGAGGAACTTCCGAGACTTTTGAATCCTTTCATTAATGGTCTGAAAGTGTTATTTCCTGTTTCATTGGGTGGTCTTTCCTTTGAAAGTAGTTGTTTTACTCCAGGAGCGGGAAAGCAAAGGGAGGAAATTCAGCCTTCCCTGGTATAAAACTGGCTTCTCTGGCTTGAGGCAGAAGCGGGGAATGCAAAGGGAGGAATTTCAGCCTTCCCTGGTTTAAAACTGGCTTCTCTGGCTTGAGCAGAAATGGGGAAAGCAAAGGGAGGAAATTCGGCCTTCCCTGGTTTAAAACTGGCTTCTCTGGCTTGAGCAGAGGCCAGGAATCAGAATCATTTCTGACTCACTTTCCGAGTTGGAAGAAAAATGGTGAGACTAGTTTCGGAAGGGCAAAGGGACTTCCGGTTTCCTAAAAAAGTTCAAAATCACTTCAAAAAGGTAATTTTTCCAAATTTATTCTGAATTATGAAGATTCTGACTGGACCTAACCATGCCTACCATATAGCCTGAAAATCCTACAACAGCCTATTAGTTGTAGTAGTAATTTATTCGATGCTTAGACCATAGGTCTTTCACATACAAGGCAAGGCAAATAAATAAATACATGAACACCAGATTATTAAATACAATATAAAATAGCCTATTAAGGGTTGGTCGGTCTGGGAGGATTTGCATCACTATTTCGAATAAGTGGCCATTCACACATTAACAAATTCCATCTTTCCTGATCATTGACCATGTGGCCAGGAAATGATGGAATCAGGTCAAACAACATTTGATGATTATCAATAAATCTCCTTTCAAAATAAGTAATGGTGTCCACTTTAACCCTCAAGTACAGTACATTTGGAGACAGCATTGAAGCAAACATGGCATTGTACTGCAATGAGTCCCTCTACTTAGACTGAAGCCAGTTTCTATCTGTGTAGCCCTAGGTTTTGACCACATTAGCAAGAGACTCAAGAATTGAGCACAGGCTTGGGGAAAAAGAGATCACAGAAGACAGGCAGTCTCTTAACTGTAGCGATCCTCTAACACGGAAGCATTATTTCTTAATTCCATACTATCAGTGTATAAATGAAAGAGCAATTATGGTAATGTTGCAGGGACTAAACGCACAAAATGTAGCCAAGGGCTTTCAAAGCTTTTTATAATCCATTGCAAATTTGAAAAACGACACGTGGAGCTGCCGTCCAATTCATTACAAATGCCAAGATAACAAGCCCAGCATTGCTCATTCGAAACCGTGTCTGTATGTCAAGTTAACTCGCACACAGTAGGTGGCACACTTGGCCTTTTTTTACCAAACTGCACTGCGCAGATAGCTAAAGAATCAGAAAGAATCTGCTTTTACTATAAGGAGGAAAAGCAAAATTTAACCACCTTTTGAAGCTTTAGGAGGGCAATGACTATTTTGAGATCTATCTGAGCCATTTTGGCTGTGGAACTCCATCCAGAAGGGAGTCAGGTGCCTCCTTTCTTTGTTTTCCATGGCCTTTGCTCCCAAAACATAGGGTTTGTTTTACTGATTGATTTGATTTTGTTTGTTTCTTAAAATTCATTTTTAAAAAAAGCTTTTTGTTTGTTTTTGTGCATTTTTTCTATCTGTTTTCATTTTCTGAATGTCATCTTGGGAGCCCAGGGGCAACACATTTCTTTGTCTGTTTTTGGGAGCAGGAAGAAATGTGCCAAGAGGAATGCGTGTCAAGCCAACCCCCGACTGAGACCGCCTTCCACCTGGAAACCGATGCCCTCACTGCAGGAGAAGATGCAGATCAAGAATAGGGCTCCACAGTCACCTATGGACCCACCAGTACACTGATCTTGGAAGACTATCCTACTCGGACGACGAGGGATTGCCTAATGTAATGTAACCATTTGAGTAATTCAGTTCTTTGTGTGCACCATCAGTTGAAGTCTCTTCATAAATTCTTCTGAGCTCCCACAGTTATTCTTCTCTTCTGCAGCACAAATCCTATCTATTCCATTTCTTTTAGGCATGTGAGGGCTAACTCCTAACTATCGTCTATTTTTGTTAACAGGGGCTGAAGGTGTGGAAAGTACTTACAGATAAAATTTGGTCTCCCCTCTGCAGCTCGCCACTGAGATCGGCTGGTCCTCCCGCTAGGATGAAGGAGACAAAAATGCCTTCGCCATCTTCTCCACCCACAATGTTGAAACCAAGACCCGTCGAGCCCTTGTGCAAGACAACTTTCCGAGGCTCTCTGGGGAAAGAGAAGGGACATGGTGTAAACATATTGCTACAAACCCCCCAGTCGTTTATGGATATTATGGTAAGCCTTTTCATAACAGTATCATCTGGACCAATATGATGTTTCTGTCATCAATACGCACAAGCTTATCTAAACACCACCCTATTGATCAACTGAATATATTCAAACTAATTCCACAACACAGAAACAAACAGCAGCTTCTGAGAGGTATGACACATCCTCCTGTAAACAACAGGAGTGCTTCTCAAGTGATTTGATGTAGTGAATCAGCATCTCCCCCTCCCAACCTTTAACGTGCAAGTACTTATACAATATTTATTCCTTATTATCAACACATTTACATAGTACCCTTTTGATGCACCACTGATCGGCACCCAGTGGATTACAGATCAACAGCAGTCTTTGGATCACTACTTTGAATAGTATTGGTCTAAAAGGCACAAGATCTATGTATGTATGTCTTGATTTCCCACATTTCTCATATAGTTAGTCCTGAGATGGGACCTAGGGCAGCTATCAACAAGACTAAAAAGTCTATGATAAACAAACAGAAATACTGGGATAGCTTAATACCAAACTATAGACTGGATATTTGAAGTTTAAGTCACCATCTATGTTCCAGATGTGCCAGTATTCCTCTCGTTTCCTGGATATATTCAGGTTTTCTCTCTACTCTTGGCTCCAGAGTAAGAAGAAGCTATTTATTTATTTATTTATTTATTTATTTGCAGTATTTATATTCCACCCTTCTCACCCCGAAGGGCACTTGGAAGGTCAGGAGGGAAAGAGCCGATCTAATATCCCTAGGGAAGGAGTTCCACAGCCAAGGGAACTCCTTCCCAATCTGATGTCACTGAGAAGGCCCTGTCCCTCGTTCCCACCAAACGCGTCTGCGAAGAAGGCGGGATCGAGAGCAGGGCATTCCCAGATGATCTTAAATTCCGAGAAGGGAGAGATACGTTCGGACAGGTAAGCTGAGCCAGAACCATTTAGGGCCTTATAGGCTAAAGCCAGCACTTTGAATTGTGCCCAGTAGCAAATTGGTAGCCAGTGGAGTTGGCACAACAGAGGAGTTGCGTGCTCCCTGAGTTAGCAACTTAGCAGCTCCAGTTAGCAACTTGACTGCTGCCCACTGGGCCACTGAAGCTTCCAAACAGCCTTCAAAGTCAAGCCCATGTAGAGCACGTTGTAGTAGTCTATACGGGATGTAACCAGAGTGTTAACTACCATGACCAAGTCAGACTTCCTAAGGTACGGGTGCAGCTGGTGCACAAGTTTTAACTGTTCAAATGCTCCCCTGGTCACTGCCGAAACCTGGGGTTCCAGGCTCAGCGATGAGTCCAGGATCACACCCAAGCTGCGAACTTGTGTCTTCAGGGGGAGTGTAACCCCACCCAACCCTATGCCCTGTTTGGCCTTTTGACTGACCAGGAGGACCTCTGTCTTGTCTGGAAAATATGGGAAGATTTCTTGAAGGAAGCACTCCCTAGAACAACCATTTAGTTCTTTATTATTTACTAGCCATCCTTTGCTACGCATTGCTGTGGCCGTCTGTGTATATGTGTTTTGTGTGTGTATATATTTGTTTATACGTGTATTTGCATATATATGTGGTTTTGCGCATGCGTTGTGATGTATTTTTTGGGTTCTTTTTGTTTTTGAAGTCTTTTCTGCTGTGTTTTTCAGTGCTTTCATGAGTGATGGTCACTTGTTGGCCTGATATGTTCATTGTGTCCAAATTTGGTGTCAATACGTCCAGTGATTATTGAGTTATGGTAATCCCACAAACAAACGTTACATTTTATTTATATAGATGTCATTACACCTGATACCATATTCAAAGACCTCAGAAAGTAGGAAATAGAATCAACTTAAATAATTTAAAGCAATTATAAGTGTATAAATCCTCAAGGTAAATCTATGGCATGCTTCTACCAGAAGTTACCATAGAAATGACCTGGAGGAACTAAAATATTTTCCATATTTTCCTGATTGAGTCTATGGTAAGTTCCAGAGGAAGTCTTTCACTTTAATAGGGTTTGCTATTGTCCTCTTTAATCTTCTCCTGCTGAGTTAACTGAGCACAAACTGTTGCATTAAACTGAACATTCTGTATGTTACACAAAATTAAACTGAAGCATGAACTTGGCACACAATTGAACTGAGGGCCAATTGTATCACCATCCATGGCTCTGGAGACCAGGGTTCAAAACTCAGCAGCCATGAAACCCACTGGGTGTCCTTGGACAGGTCATTTTCTCTCAGCCACAGAGGACAGCAATGGCAAACTTTGGAACAAATCTAGACATAAAAACCCTCTGTGAAGTTTGCTAGAAATTGTAAACGACTAGAACAGGGGTAGGGAACCTTTGGCCCTCCAGCTGTGGTGGACTTCAACTCCCACAATTCCTTGAGGCTCGGCATTGGGCCAAGGTAAGCCTTTGGGGCGAATGCCGAGCCTCAAGGAATTGTGGGAGTTGAAGTCCACCACAGCTGGAGGGCCAAAGGTTCCCTACCCCTGGACTAGAAGGTACTCAGTAGCAATAACAATTCTTGCCTGTATTAAAATGACACCATGGATTGTTGGCATCTTTCCCGTCTACTACCAGTAGATGGAGCTAATAGCATAGTTACTAAATAGGCAACATTCATGAAAAAACAACTCCTTCCCTTTCCGTAGTTTAAAACACCTCTCCATGGTTAAACACACGTTTTGTTCCATTTTCTGTTCTTTACAATGTATTTTTATTGATCATCTTACTAAGAATATTTTGGAGCAAGGTAAGCTTGAAATGATTTTCTTCAGAAACAGCATACAATATTGACCATGAAATATGTTTAGGATGAAAGAGACCCAGACCTAATTTTGGAAGGAGTATCCAGATAGAGTTCTGGGATTATGGTTTAAGTGGCAGAAAAAGAGAGGAACATGGGATTTAGAGAAAGGAAGGGCACCTGGGGAATGGCAAGGAGACCTGGATGTTTGTTGAAAGGTGGGTTTCTCAGTAGGGGGGAAGGAAAATATGAGTGCAAGGGTAAAAAGGACAGAAATCTTTTATATAATAAGATGTTTCCTCCTCAGGGTCTGTGTAGACCAGGGGTCCCCAAACTACGCCACGCGGGCCACTTCCGGCCCACCAAGGGCACTTATCCGGCCCGCGGAGGAGGAGTGCCCCCCACACACAGTGCCCCTCCCTTAGCTGGCTCACGCTATCTGTCAGGCCCAATGGGCAGCGTGAGCCAGCCGAGGGCAGCTGCTCTGCGTGGCCTACTCGCGCATAAAGCACCTCACGAGGTGCTTTATGCACAAGTAGGCTGCATGGGGCTGCTCCTCCCTTGGCAGACTCACGCTGCCCATTGGGTCCGATGGGCAGCGTGAGCCAGCAAGGGAGGCTACCCCGGCGCTCCATGCAGTCATGCCAGCCACATGACCGTGGAGGTGTCTACGGACAATGCCAGCTCTTCGACTTAGAAATGCAGATGAGCACCACACCCCAGAGTCAGACACGACTGGACTTCATGTCAGAGGGAAACCTTTAACTAGGAAAATTGTGGAAGATCCAGGGTGGGAGAAAGAACTCTTGTCTGTTGGAGGTAGGTATGAATGTTTCAATTAGCCACCTTGATTACCATTGCATAGCCTGACAGTTTTTAGGGAGAATCCTTTGTTGAGAGGTGATTAGCTGGCCCTGATTGTTTCTTGTCTGGAGTTCCCCTGTGTTTGAGTGTTGTTCTTTATTTACAGTTATAATTTTAGAGTTTTTTTAATACTGGTAGCCAGATTTTGTTCAGACTAGAAATAGAAAGATTTCCCATTCCCTGCTCCTGGAATTACTGCCTAAAGAGGGCTAGAAAGAACCCCCTCTAAGGGCCCTTCCACACAGCAAAATAAGACATGTGCAATGTGCATAGGAGTTTTTTTATTGATTTTTTTTTAAAAAAACTATAGTCTGGCCCTTCAACGGTCTGAGGGACAGTGAACTGGCCCCCGGTTTAAAAAGTTTGAGGGCCCCTGGTGTAGACCAAGAAAGGTTTATCGAACTCTGCATTTCGAAGAAATCCAAAGAGGAGATTTAAGGGAGAAATTTAAACTGGATCTGGTCTTCTTTTGAAATATTAGCAGGTTTTTAATCTGGAATACTATAGTTCTGGGCACCACAATTCAAGAAATATATTGACAAGTTAGAGCATGTTCAGAGAAGGGTGACCAAAATGATAATAGGTTTGGAATTCAAGCCCCATGAAGAGTGGTTCAGGGAGATGGGTATGCCTAACTTGGTGAAGAAGAAAGCTGGGAGGGAGCATGATAGCATGTTTATACTTGAAAGGATGCTATATCGAGGAGGGATCAAGCTTGCTTTCTCATAGAGGCCAGGACATCAGGTGGGGAGGGGGAGATGGGGCACTTTACCCCTCTCCCCTCCAATCCCTCTCATTGTGGCACTGTAGCTCACATCAGTCAGAGTGCTGAGGACAAGGTAGCTCCTGAGTCATGGCTCAAGACCATGGCAACACGGTCCATAGCCTCCCATGTGTGTGAGAGGGAACTCCTTGGTGGCTCCCCAGCAGTGTGTGGCCGAAGACTCCACGTGGCCCTAATCTGGTTTCAAGGATTCTAGATCACTATAGAAGGGCCCCAATCTGTAAGCTGCATTTATGGTTTGGCTTAAAATGATAGCATAATAAAAATCATTAAAATACATTTAAGGTTAAAAACACACCATCCAGAGTTCAAGGTCTAAGCCATTCCATGATCAATTGCACATAATTCCACACTAAGATTACTGCATTACCCTATTTTTTAAAAAACCTGCTCCCAGAGCCAAGTTTTGACTATCCTCCTTAAGGCTAGGAGGGAGGGGGCCAATCTGATGTTACTAGGGAGAGAGTTTGACAACTGAGGGGCCACCACTGTGAAGGCCCTGTCTCTCGTACCCATCAATCATGCTTACGAGGAAGGTGGGATCGAGAGCAGGGCCTTCCCATTTATTTATTTATTTATTTCGGGCACTTCTACCCTGCCCTTCTCAACCCCCGAGGGGGGACTCAGGGCGGTTTACAACCGGCACAATTCGATGCCAACAATTCAACAGATAAATTTCATAACAGCAATAACCACAGTAGTTAAAACAATCAATTAAAACAATAACAATTAAAAGCCAATCTAGTGGCCAACGTTCACCGAGTTCTAATATCCATAAGTCCATTCAGCATTATCATAGCCCTTTCCAATTTCTGGTCGTCATTATCTTGTCAGTCTGCCAGATTACCCAAAGGCCTCGTCCCATATCCATGTTTTCAGCTTCCTTCTGAAGGAGAGGAGGGATGTTGATGACCTAATTTCCCTGGGGAGTGAATTCCACAGACGAGGGGCCACCACCGAGAAGGCCCTGTCCCTCGTCCCCACCAGCCTCACTTGTGAGGCGGAGCTGAGAGCAGAGCCTCCCCCGAAGATCTTAAACTCCGAGGTGGGACATAGAAGGAGATATGTTTGGACAGGTACGCTGAACCGGAGCCGTATAGGGTTTCCCAGATGATCTTAAACTCTGAGTTGGTTTGTAGGGGAAGATACATTCAGACAGGTAGACTGAGCCAGAACCGTTAAGAGATACCAATGTTATCCAGTTGCTAATATAAACACACATTCAGTTTTAAAACACAGAATCAATGTCAAGTATTAATCACAATGCAAGTGGAATCAATTCACAGGTGCTTCTTACCCTTCTATAGAAATGCTCCGTTGTATGCTCACTGTGGGTGGCCGATTTACTGTGCTGTGCTGTGAATGACTGCATTGACAGAAAAGAAGAAAAGAAAGAAAGAAAGGAGAAGGGAAGGAAGGGAAGAAGGAAGGAAGGGAAAGGGAGAGAAAGAACAAATAAAGAATTAAAAGAGAGCTTAATTTGTTGCTAATTTTGTTCTCAAAGGGAAGGAACACAAAATCTTAGTAATTTTCTTCCTTCTGCAAGAAAATAAGATGATTGGCAGTTTTGAACTTTTCTGCATAAAATCTGCACATTTTAGGGTAATTCTCACATGCATTTATTTGCACAAGAAACTGATTTTTCTGTCAGAAATCAATATTTATGTACATTATGCAGAAAATGCTGTTTTCTGCACAGAAAATGTTGTAACTGAGGACTCATTCTATGCAAAATGCACTTAAGTGTGTGTGTGTGGGGGGGGGGGGCATAAAAGGGATCCTTGTCAAGACTCCATGTGGCCCTAATCTGGTTTCAAGGATGCTAGATCACTTTTTGTGGTTTTTGCACAAAATTGCATTTTTGTCCAGTTGAAATAGTTTTTTGCAAAGAAAATAACACAGAAATATTGCATCTTTTTTGTGCAAAAATTTGCAAAATCTGTGCAGAATAAACTTTGAACTGCAAAGATGTTTGTCAGTCCAGGATTCTCCACTTCAGGGTTTCCTGACACTTAAGAACACACTTCTGGCCATTTTTAAAACATTATTTCCATCCCTAAGAATGAATAAAACCAGAGGCCTCTTGATCTTAAAACCCTTTAGTCATATTATAACAAAAAGCTACAAGCATATCTAAACTATCCCAAGTGACAATATACACACATAGGTGTTTGTATGATGTGGCTTTATGATTATGAGATTTTCACTACAGTAGTTTCGAATAAATAACTAACATGCCACTCTTAAAATTGTAGCCCTTCATATGATGGCAAACTGCAACAACAATGTAGTGTTGAAGGCTTTCATGGCCGGAATTGCTGGGTTGTTGTGTGTTTTCCAGGCTGTATGGCTATGTTCCAGAAGCATCCTCTCCTAATATTTTGCCCACATCTATGGCCTCACAACAGACCTCACAACCCCTGAGGATGCCTGCCATAGATGCAGGTGAAACATCAGGAGATAATGTTTCTGGAACATGGCCATACATCCTGGAAAACACACAACAACTTTGCAACAATAATCATTCCTCACAAAGGGCCAGATTTGTATGGGCTATTTGAAAATAAAAGCAGATATTCCCACCACCACTCATAGCACAAGCTATTGGTATATTAAAGAATTTTCCCCCACTCCAGGGAAGAACTTTTGAGAAGGGAAACGGTTGATGTGGGCTGAACTGGATGAAACTAATCCTTTTGTGGATTGATTAGTTCCAAGAGCAAGTGGTTTCTTCTTTCTGTTCTATGTGGAGGAATTAGTGTGTGCAATCAAGAAAGGAGATTCCATCTGAACATGAGGAAGAACTTCCTAACTGTGAGAGCTGTTCAGCAGTGGAACTCTCTGCCCTGGAGTGTGGTGGAGGCTCCTTCTTTGGAAGCTTTTAAACAGAGGCTGAATGGCCATCTGTCACGAGTGATTTGAATGCAACATCCCTGCATCTTGGCAGGGGGTTGGACTGGATGGCCCATGAGGTCTCTTCCAACTCTTTGATTCTATGATTCTATGATTCTATCACTGCTTCCATGTTTCACTGGCCAAACTGTAGACTCTCCATTGGCCTGGTGTGATCCAAAAAGTGACTCATGGATGCTGTCAAGCATGAGATTAGCCACAGACTTCTTCAGATCTATGTATACTTAGGTGTAACCAATCGACATGACATCTGAAATCACATAGCTTTTATGCATTCTTTGATATGTTGGATAAGGGGTGGTATCTATTTCCCTGTCTCACTGAATTATTGATCATAGTCAATCTGCCCAAGATGGATGCTTGGGGACCCTATGGAACATGCACACAAGGTTGCTGTGTTCATGTTGCCACATTTCATGCAATGGAGAAGAGAAGAATATCTATCAATATTCATAGTGCTGATGAAGAAAGGGTTTTTTGAGACTCAATGGATATAAAACAAAGAAGAAACAAACGTGGAATTCTTCACTGGTTTGTACTTCTTTGGGTGGAAATGAATTAGTTCAGAAATGCTGATTTATTTGTATTTGCTGGGAAACCAATATTTCTGCACAGAATTTTCCATGGAGAAATCATTATTTCATGTACAAAAAAAATTAGCTGAAATTCTACCCAGATCTTCCAAATGTATAGTTTCTCTGTGGAAGCATCCGGACATTTCTTTCTGATGTGGAAACCCCCACATTCATTTCAAAGTTCTGGATGTAGAGTTGTGCATACAGTACCATTGTGCATAAAGATGTACATGCACATCAATGTGCATTGGTGCACATGTGATGCACATGTGCTTTTGGTTGTGCATTTGATTGTCCATTTGGGCATCTCCTCTGTTGCAGCATGTGCTATCCTGCAACTGGAGATGTTTGCTATGCAACCTTGATGAAGGATCTCAGTCATCATTTGTTTGTATGTGTTGAATCCCTTGTGCATTTCTGGGAAGATGAATATTCCTGGAAGATGTACCAAACAGTAGTAGTAGTAGTAATCTTAGATTTCAATTTGTCATTCTTGTCTGCAAATACAAAATAAGCTTTGTATCCGTAATTTATATGAGACTGTTTAATTTGTACAAACTAATGGCACAATTGTTGCAATTTAAAGACTACTCTTCAACTACCAGAGGCATTAAAGCTACTGTTCAATTATAGCAGATGCGTTTGGGATCAGCATACCAGAAGTAAGCAAAATGGTTTAGAAAAACAAAAACACAAAGTCAACAAACACGTTGTAAATTAAAATGGCTGTTCGCCTTCTCCTCCATTGGTACAAATGACTTTGACAAGTTAATTGAAAGGAACAGAAGACGCAGAGCGGCCCACTGAGACTGAGCTGGCATAACACAGATACATTGACGCAGCGCAAGTCAAACACAGTTCATTTCCACAAGCCTTTTGGGAAAATCAGTTATGTCTGTCTGAGATCTTGACAGAGCTCTGAAAAATAGTTCCTCGGGGACTCTTTTTTCACCTGGTACAAAGTACAAAGAAGAACTACTGAGGAATCTAGGCTATAGATTAACTTCTTTTTAAAAAAAGAAAGGGGTAACAAGCTGTATAATTTTGATGACAGTTGTAACTCCAATTAAGCTCGAGAAGCATACCACGGCACTTGACATTAACACACATAATGTCAACAACTAAGAAAACACACACACAAAAAGTGAAAAATGTCTACCTGTGACATGGATTGGTAACAAATGGTATCATCTGCTTGCACAGGCATATTATTTTGTGAATTTGACTTCGTACCTTCTAACTTGTTACAACTACAGTTATCTATGTTTGCCTCCTTCCTTTTAACACCCTCTGAAGAAGACACCATAAAAAACCTTTCCAGAGAAAAACAGTTTTTTTAAAACATCCTGAAACATGACTTCTTTCCATGTTTTATCAGTTTATGAACCTTGAGTTGGTTTTTTTTTTAAGTATTTGAAGGCTGTGAGCTTTTCTCCTTCCACAAAACTCCAGCAATTGGCAAACTCCTTTGTCACACAGCTAGCTGTAAGGGCCAATCCACTTAGTGTAGAAACTCAGCATTTTTTCTTATTTTCACCCACTTCTACAATATTTCAATTCATTGCAAGAGGCACATGTTCCATGCACCTGAGCAGGGCTGCATATCAAAAATAGCATGCTATTTAAGAGTGGAAAGTGCACATTAATGAGTGTACAAACTGTGCACTATCCACGAACTGTTGGAAAATTTCAAGGCCAATGTGTGCATGGCATATTGGTTTGAGTGCTGGGCTTCAGAAAGCAGGGTTCAAATCCCTGTTCACTCATGGAACATGGAAACCCATAGTGTGTCCTTAGGCAAGTCACACTCCATCAGCCTCAGAGGAAAGGAAAACAACCCAATGAAAGGCTCACTGTTGGGTTGCCAAAGGTTGAAAATGATTTGAAGTCACACAAGAACTATTTGGGCCCATTACGTGTCCTCTTGGAGCCATTTTAGGCATACAAGATCACTTTGTCCCACAGGAAGTGATCAGAAAATGATCCAGATCATGTCCTGTTGGTGAAAAGGCCTTTTCTGAACCTAAAATCACTTAGAGGAAGCAAAAGCATGGTGAAATGCTTCCCTTCACTTTAGAATTAATGTTTTGATCCAGGAGGCTGGATGTTGTCCTTTCTCCAGCCATCATGGACACAAGCTAATACTATGAGCTTCTTAAAGTTCAGCTGGTTGTTTCAAGATCTTCAGGGTTTAAACATGCAATGTGTTCAGCAACTGAATGCACCAACAGGCTCCTTTTGCCACTTAAAGCAGTGGAAAAATGTGAAATTCAGAGGCAATCATATATCTGTACTTGCTTATCTAGAGGAGAGTCCCAATCAATTATCTGGCATTCACCCTTGAGTTGACAGGTGTAAGATTGCGCGATACCAAATGATGTAAACCATGCGAAACCATAGCACAACAAAAGCAAAGAGGAAGAACAAAGAGGCTCCACAGGGTGAAAGGAACACACAAATAAATATGAACAACGGGCTAAAAGGAAACATGGATGCAGTGCTGTTTTATATTGAATTTGATACCTATTCAGTGATGGAACCTCATTGCAAATGTCAGTTAAGTTTCTACAGTATGACCCTCTTATCCACAGAGTCGATATTAATGGTTTCACTTACCCATGGTTCAAAAAATATCCCTCCCCCTTGAAGTGTTTGTGGCTCTTTCTAGGTCCTCCTGCAATTCTATGATATACTTCTGGCCCCTGTACAGTCAAGGTATTGGGTCTACCTTCATCCAAGGTCCCAAGTGTCCATGTATATTAAAATGTAATTTGACCTTGGCACATTGCAGAAGTAGCATAAGTGCAACTACAGTCAGCCCTCCACATTCACTCAGGTTGAGGGCACAGCATCACATGGAAGTGAAAAACTTTGAACT